TCAAGACAAAAAAGAAAGACTTAAAAAGGAGAAAGTAAGGAATATGATAAGTCTGTGTTTCTGTAGAATTTTGATATGGTTTTACTTTTTTTCCCCTTTTGTTTCCTTGTTTGAATTTGTTGCATTGTTGTTCATGGTTTGATTAAGTTTTGACACCACGTTTCTTTGATTGGTTTGAGTTTGTATTATAGTCCTAATTTTTAGTTCTTGGTCTGATCTTGTTGATTGTTCTGTTTCTGTTTTTAGATTTCTTGAAAAAGTGTAATTTTGAGTTATATATATATATATATATATATATATATATATATACAATTTGACTGCATATCCATATCTTTTTTAATTCCGTGTTTGTATCCTAACTAACACTGACAATGTAAACTTAGTAGGCCGAAGTCCTAATGGAATTTGAAAACAGTGTCATCTTGTGGCAGGCCAATTTATAGTAGGCTAGCCGTACACCCCGAGTGCGCAACTCCGTTTGCGCAACACACAAAATGTGTTCAGTTTTCTGAGAATATAGTTCACATATTCTAGTGTTGCAATAAATTCAATGTAATAACAATAATAACACTATCATGTATGAATATTGAATAATAATGTCTTTTCGAAATCCATATTTCACAGCTCTTCTCAAATTTACTTAGCCTTAAGCTTTTTGCAATATAAAAATGATCAATATGTCGGCTATTTGCAGTATAAAACAATAATTGTGGATTATATTGTGCTTATATGTGTTATAGTTATGTCTGTTCTGTATCTGTTTCCCTGAGTTTTCCCCGTCATTGTGTATTTGGTTCAGTCCTGTTCCCAGTTTTCCCGCTCCTTGTTAGTGTTCAGTTTATTCACCTGTGTTCTGATTTGCCCCAGCTGTGTCTTGTTCCCTCATCCCGTCTGTGTATTTAATCCTGTCTGCTCTTTTGTTCTTGGTCAGTTATTGAATGTATGTATTTTCGAGTGTCTTGCCTGTTCTGAGTTTTCCCTAGTTTGTATTATTAAAGTCTACTGCTGCATTTAGATCCGCCTACTGCCTTTGCTTCCACGCAAAACGTAACAATATGAGTGTTGACATTATTAATATATTAAACAATATTAAATATTTGTTAATGAAATATTAATAATAAGGTAAAATAATGCCATAAAGAATCGCATGCGCAGGGTAAGATTTGTGAAAGAGTACATAATGCACGCGTAAAATAAATGTGCATGCGCAAGAGAAGGTTTGTAAAGGTGTAAATCGCCCTTCAAGTGTAAGAAAAAAAAATATATTTGCAGCATTTAACTGTTATTCGTAAATGTAATTCGTGTATTTTGAAGCTGCAGCTTCATGCTAACGCAACATAAATTAGATCTGTATTCTTCAGACTTTCATTTTTCCGCGCTTACACTTTTGGCACGGTTTTTGCGCACAAATGCGGCCAAAAGCATTGCAAGCCTGTGAACAGCAATCTGCAAGCGAAAACAACAGGAACTGCAAAACAGACGAATTGCGTAAAATCAAACTTTGTGTAAAAAAATAAACTGTTGCAAATGTCTGAATGACTTGTTGTGTGCATGGGGTAAAAAAGTTCCCGAAATAACCCGATCTGTACAGTTGCGTCTCTCTTTTACCTGCGCTTTCAGTTTTGGCACGATTCTCTCACTCACTGAGTTTTGCAAGCGCGAAGAGGAGGGCGGGTCCACCTTCATCATGTAGCCGCTACATGATGAAGGTGGACCCGCCCTCCTCCTTGCTGTACAGATCGGGTTATTTCGGGAACTTTTTTACCCCATGCACACAACAAGTCATTCAGACATTTGCAACAGTTTATTTTTTTGCACAAAGTTTGATTTTACGCAATTCGTCTGTTTTGCAGTTCCTGCCTCTGTTGTTTTCGCTTGCAGATTGCTGTTCACAGGCTTGCAATGCTTTTGGCCGCATTTGTGCGCAAAAACCGTGCCAAAAGTGTAAGCGCGGAAAAATGAAAGTCTGAAGAATACAGATCTTATTTATGTTAAGTTAGCATGAAGCTACAGCTTCAAAATACATGAATTACACTTACGAATAACAGTTAAATGCAGCAAATATTTTTTTCTTACACTTGAAGGGCGATTTACACCTTTACAAACCTTCTCTTGCGCATGACAATTATTTTACACTTGCAATCTTATGTACTCTTTCACAAATCTTACCCTGCGCATGCGATTCTTTATGGCCGTATTTTACCTTCATAATAATAAACAAAATTATTAAAAACGTCCTATTTTGTTAATAGCTGTTTCAACACTGAAAACAAAATAAACACTAACACGGATGTAGAAGCGACTCATAGGCTGCTCACTGCAGAGCCATGGGTGGAGCGTGAAGTACATCTCCTATTTGTAATTTCTGCGTGACTCTATCCCTCCACTCACCCATTAGATCCACAGAGGTGGGGCTGGACTAGGTCAGGCTCAACCCATGCCGTCCAGAGAGGTGGAGCTGGACGTCATTCGGCTCCAGTGAGTAGTGATGGGCGATACCACTTATTTTGTTTTCGATACGATACCGATAGTTTCAAGGCCAGTATCGTCGATACGATACCGATACCAATACCAATACGATACCTCTAAACTGAACTTTTAAATTTGAAATTATTAAATTATTGAATTACTAAGATTAAAATGGGTAATGATACCCATTAAACATTATATTTGAAAGGCATTTTAACATTCAATATGCCTTAATTAGAATTTATTAGATTATATTTTTATTTACACATGGTTCAAATGTTTACTTGTAGTGGTAACCATGGAAATCTACAAAATATTATAGGCCTATTTGAACTATGGTCACTGTAATGTTCATTTTCATAAGGGACTGCCAGTGACAGGCTGTTGCACCAATTAAATGTAACCTTTTTATTCTGACAGTATATGATTTAATTTAAAATTAGTTACAGAATAGAACATCAGTATGAACTTTTAACATTCAATTTAAAACAATTTAATTGCACAAGTATGTTGGATACAATTTGTTTATTGTGAATGTAATGGAAATTTTTTATATTCTCATTGATTTTAGTTCCTTATCTGTGATCTGATTATAGAAACAGAGGACTCTGTTTCCTGTTGTTATGTTAATACAGCTAGAGGGTGTGTGTGTGAGACACTCAGCAGGTGGTTGGGCAAGTGACCTTTGACTTCAGAGGTGAGAAGACCCCCTGGTTTCGGGGTAGTCGTAAAGTTCCTTTGTTCCTCTTGTCTAAACAAGAGATAGAACAGTATAAGACTGCTAGCGAACCTCTGCTCTGGGTCTCACTCCGCCTGCAGCTGGACTGTGGTTGGACTGGGAACAATTCTTGCAAGAATAAATCTTTTAAAATACAATTGGAATCCAGGGGCCCATTCTTCGTACGTTGCGTAAAACATCCGAGATCAAACGAGACATCCAAGATAATATCATCGTGCTCATCATGATCCGGCTAATTAGGGTCTTCGAACACTCCTGCCGGTTATGATTAGTATAGCTGGATTGAGTTATCTGAGATAATTGCGCGTTCATGCGCTGGTTTAAAAGGGGATATGTATCGATAGAAGAAACATTGATCAGCAACGCTGATATTGGCTGCTCACCGTGGCCAAAGAGCGCGCTCAGTTTTTTTCTCCACAGAAGAGCAAGAGTTATTGCTTGAAGGATATGCTAAATTTGAAAACTTAATTAAAACGCCAGGGAACACCTTAAAGTGTGCAAAAGCCAGGAGAGAGGGCTGGCAAAAAGTAGCAGACAAATTAAGTTTGTAGTTAGATGTTTTTATCACTTATTACAGTATATATTTTTATATTTTAATAATTTCTAAATAATTCATAACTTTGTTCATTGTAATGTCAGAGTCACCACCCACTACTAGAACATGGGAACAAGTAAAAGTGAAGTACTAGAATATTCTACATAATAGTAATTTGTACTAACTAATCTCTTTTAAAAAGGCACTGTTAATAAATGTTTGCCTGTTTATAAAAGCAACCAAGAAAAAGGCTGAGAAAAAAAAGAAGAAAAGAAAAACAAACAGATGGTGGTCCTGCACCCCCACATTATACCCAGGCAGAAGAGCTGGCCCTTGGGTTAAATGTAAATCTTGTGGAGGGCATCCCTGGGTTCAGCTCTTCCTCAGACCCACAGCCAGGAGCAGCAACACCTTCACTGCTGGTAAATGACCTTTAAATGATCCTAGTACACTGTAAAATAATTTGTTGCTGCATTAAATTAAGTAGGCCTATAATCCAAATGGCTGTCCAGTCATATCAACTGTTAAACCTTGAGTAGTAATGAATTGCTTTGACTTATGAAAGTCTACATGTGTGACTGTGAAACTACATAGTTAATGTAAAAAAAATATGTTGCCATGAATTATTGATCACATTTCCCCCCAGTGTACTTCATTGTAATGAAATTGTGTTTTCCTCTTTTGTGCAGTATTAAACAATACACCAACACTTTTACGTGTTCCCAAGCAAGTGGTGGCTGAAGCATGTGCAGTAAGTGGACTTTTTCTAATGTTACATCAAAAGGGAAGAAAGTACAACACTTTGTAATGCCCATTTTCCCCCCAATGCACAGGACAGTGAAGAAACCCTCTCAGGTATCTTTAAGTGCATAAATATCTTTACTTAATTTACACTTGAGTACCTATTATTTCTGAATGCAATATGAGTTGCAGGAGTCCACATCTACAGAAGAGTCTGCACAAAGCAGTGATGCAGAGGTGGGCAGTGTTGTACTTTTCCTTTTAATTTTTGATGCATAAGCCATGTGTTTGACAGGTTTACCCCTACCCCTAGAAAACAGAGTATTTCGAAAATTCTTGACAACTTAAAGAAAAAAAACTGGCACTAGAGATAGAGTTGCTTCATAGGAACTTCAGAGTAAGTGCTAATATATTATTTCACACAGAGTACAATATATATTATTTGCAGGCAAAAGATGACTTGATCACTGGCTTTTCTTTACAAAGAACAATTAAAATAAAACTCAAAGAACTAAGCATATTTGTCTTGTCTTTTATTAAACATTAATGAAATGTTTTATATTTTTTCTGATGGTGCAATGTTGTGTAATATGGCCCATGCAATGTCACAGGCCCTGTCAGGTGCAACCCTCAGACTTTTCAGATACTTTAGTTGGCTAAAGTTCACTTCATTGTGTGCCCTTGTCCTGGCTAGAGCTGCATTGTAACTGGTCTGGGGTTTGGGTCAGGGAATGGGATCATAAAACACCTGTCTCCAAGCAGGATCCTGTTGTAATCACCTGTTTAATGGAAAAATTAAGTTCTGTTAGGATAAGCATAAGTGTATGTAATACTTTGAGCTTGATATTTATATTTTTCCTTACCACGTTCAAATAATGTGCATAAATCTCTGAAAATTCTTGAGTCATGCACAGATCCTGGCCATATTTGTGATATGGAACATATCACAGACTTTCTAAGAGATTTTAGTCAGTCAACTGCCTTTTTAAAATTTGATATAATATTACTAATCTGGATAAGAATCGCAATAGTAACTTGCCTGCACTGTTATTAAAGCCCGACTCCGACGAGTCGAACATTTATGCGTTTCCAACAAATTAATGATGTAAACGACATCCTCACGAGTCATGAGAAAAATGATATCTCTCAAAAAGTACACTATCGCACTGCGCTAAAGCTACTTCCCGTATCAGCTCCGCTTATAAAGCCGCGATCTAATCCTGTTAACATGAAATAAGCCTGCTCGCGAGCAGGTTCAAGCTGGCGCACCTGTTGCTATGACAGCAGGTCCAGGATGAGGGTCGAAGAACCAAACAATCCAAGATCATGCCAAATCGCCAACAATCAAATCCAGCTAACTGAGTTAGCGACGTACGAAGAACGGGCCCCTGATGTCCTTACGCTGTGATGCTTGTTTGTTTAATAATTGTTTTTGCCACAACAATTTGGTGTCAGAAGTGGGATCTCACAGCAGTTCCTTTCTGGTCCTGAAGACGGATTTGACGACTGATCATCCCAAAGCACCAGGCTTATGGTCTTACCTCGGAAATTGAGAGAGAAGAGCCAAACTGCTTTCAGGGCCAGGAGGGACTCGACTGAGATCTGAAAGAATCCGGTGGCAGTAAAAGCATCTCAGGTAAGAGACCGTAAAATTGTTTTATTTTTATGGTGCAATTTGGTATAAATGTGAGGGAACCATAAGTGGCTGAGTCTATTTCTGTGGTGCGGGTACAAGATTTGTCCAGAATTAATTGAGATTTGGGGTCAGATCAAGATATTTTAAGCAGATTACAGTCCAGAATTAATTGAGACCTGGCAACAGGTCAAGAGATTTCAGGTGGACTTTAATCTGGAATTAATTGAGATCGGGCAGCCAGATCAAGAGATTTCAGGCAGATTACAGTCCAGAATTAATTGAGACCTGGCAACGGGTCAAGAGATTTCAGGTGGACTTTAATCTAGAATTAATTGAGATCGGGCAGCCAGATCAAGAGATTTCAAGTGGGCACTGAGTTCTCGTGAAAATCTGGAAGTAATTGAGATTTGGGGTCAGATCAAGATATTTCAAGCAGATTACAGTCCAGAATTAATTGAGACCTGGCAACAGGTCAAGAGATTTCAGGTGGACTTTAATCTGGAATTAATTGAGATCGGGCAGCCGAATCAAGAGATTTCAAGCAGATAGATAAAGCACTAGAGAGTGCACCCTTAACTGATCTTGGGTTAAGAAATCAGATCTGTCGGAGACGTCCAACAGATTATTAGACGTCGTAAATCCACAGAAATAGAAAACAGCCAATATGGGGTCATATAACGGTAAGCTAGCTAATTTTCAAACACCAGTTTTCGGTCAAATGAAAAAAAAAATGGAAAAAAAGATTTACGGACATAAACGTGTGACTGAATGTTGTGAAAGAGTCCGTTCAAAAAAAAGCAATGTTGTGAATGATGAAATTTTGAGCAGTATTTCCGATGAATGTTTGAAAATGTACAAAAGCACAGCGGTTTTTCTCACACTATGAAGAACATCTCGGTTACGTATGGTAACCCTCGTTCCCTGAGTAGGGAACGGAGACGTTTCGTCGGAGGAGTTTCCAACGAATTGGGATCACGCTAGGGAGACCAATTGCCTTCGAGTGAATAAAAACGAGCCAATAAATATTGGCATGCGAGATTTGCAATCCGCGTCCCGCCTACCAATGCGGGTATAAAGCGGAAGCAAACGCACACACCTTTTCTTTACGCTGAGGAGCCAGACGGTGTCCAGACCTTGCGAAGGTACAGCAAGCATGGCGAGGGGACGAGACGTCTCCGTTCCCTACTCAGGGAACGAGGGTTACCATACGTAACCGAGACGTTCCCTTTCGTCTGGGAACTCCTACGTCTCGTCAGAGGAGTCTCCAACGAATTGGGATCCCAAATAAAACGCCATGATGCTGGCCCCTTCCAGCGCCCAGCTAAGCAGTTTCTCAGTTTCTTCCGGGCGGGAGCTAGCTAGGAGGAAATCACACTGCTGTTCCGCAAGACCCACTCAGTGGATTTGGATAACACTGGGGAAACGTGCCCATGTGGGAACGTTGCAGAGCCCCGGCCAGCCCGAAGGGAGGCACTGAATACACATATGAACTAGCCCGTAGGGTAGTAAAACATATGGGAGTCCTCTAGGTAGTCCCAGCCCGTAGGGTGGGGAGCATACTCAGCAAGGACGACAGAGTGAGTCTGTCGAGGGGAAGACACGGAGCTAGCCTGTAGGGTAGCAGGAACGTGGAAAAATGATCACGAAGAAGTCATCATGAAGGTCACCCAGTCTACTAGCAACTTCTTAAGAGAGGTAATAGACCTAGCGTCAGGCGGTCCGCCACGCCTGATGCCGAGGGGTGATGAAGGAGCTCAGAAGGTTAGCCGTTTGTTGGGGAACCAAGGAGCAAAAAGGCGCACGGATCCAGCTCATAAGGCGGAATGGCGCAGCAAGCCGACAGAACCTATTCCCTCGCGCCACTGACCGAAGCGAGTAAACGGGAGGAAACCGGTTCAACACGTAAGCTATAAAACCTGGCAAACGTGTTAGGTGTCGCCCAGCCCGCAGCTCTGCAGATGTCTGTCAGTGAGGCACCTTGCGCCAAAGCCCAAGAGGAAGCGACACTCCTAGTGGAGTGAGCCGTCAACCTGGGTGGGGAAGGTACGTCCTGGGATTCATAAGTCTGGACGATAGAATCCACTAGCCAGTGGGCTAACCTCTGCTTGGAGACAGCCTTCAACTTCTGCTGGCCTCCGTAACAGACGAAGAGCTGTTCTGAGGTCCTGAAGCTTAGCGTTCTGTCCACAAAACAACGTAGTGCACGTACGGGACAGAGAAAAGCCAGGGCTGGGTCTGCCTCCTCCACGGGCAGCGCTTGCAGGTTCACTACCTGATCTACAAATGGAGTGGTAGGAACCTTGGGCACATATCCGAACCGGGGTCTCAGAACCACGTGAGTAAGGCCCGGTCCGAACTCTAGGCACGATTCGTCGACCGAAAAAGCCTGCAGATCCCCGACCCTCTTGAAGGAAGCTAGAGCCAATAGAAGAGCAGTTTTTTTCAGACAAAACTTTTAGCTCTATATCATTTAAGGGCTCAAATGGGGGCCTTTGAAGCGCTCTCAGCACCAGGGCTAAGTCCCAAGAGGGTACAGGGTACAAATTACGAGGGGGATTTAACCTCCTAGCACCCTTAAGGAATCTGATGATCAGGTCGTGCTTCCCTAACGACTTCCCGTCGATCACATCATGATGGGCAGCTATTGCGGCCACATATACTTTGAGGGTGGAGGGAGACAGCCTTTGCTCCAACCCGTCTTGTAAAAAGGAAAGCACGACACTGATCGGGCAAGTTCGGGGGTCTTCCCAGCGGGAAGAGCACCAAACGACGAACAGGTTCAACTTCAACGCATAGAGGCGCCTCGTAGAGGGGGCTCTAGCGGAAGCGATGGTATCTACCACAGCCTGTGGTAGGCCACCTAGAACCTCCGCGTCCCGTCCAGGGACCAGACATGAAGTCTCCACAGGTCTGGACGCAGGTGCCAAAGAGTGCCCCGTCTCTGAGAAAGCAGGTCCTTCCTCAGAGGAATGGGCCAAGGAGGTGCTGTCGCAAGGAGCATGAGTTCCGGGAACCAGGTCCGGTTGGGCCAGTACGGCGCAACTAGCAAGACCTGCTCCTTGTCCTCCCTGACTTTGCACAGTGTCTGTTCGAGAAGGCTCACTGGGGGAAACGCATACTTGCGTGAGCCCCGGGGCCAACTGTGTGCCAGTGCATCCGTGCCGAGGGACCCTCCGGTCAGGGAATAAAACAACTGGCAATGGGTCGTGTCCGGAGAGGCAAACAGATCTATCTGAGCGGCTCCGAAGATTCGCCATATCAGCTGGACCGCCTGGGGATGGAGTCGCCATTCTCCCGGAAGGGGCGGCTGCCGTGAGAGCTCGTCGGCTGCACTGTTGAGCACACCAGGGATATGAATGGCCCGAAGTGACCTCAGATGCTTCTGACTCCATAGGAGGAGATGGCGGGCGAGTCGCGACATACGACGGGAGCGTAGACCACCTTGATGGTTGATGTACGCCACGGTCGCAGTGCTGTCCGTACGGACCAGTACATGCCTGTGCAGAAGCAGCCCCTTGAGGCGGCACAAGGCTAAGCGTACTGCTTGCAACTCTAGGCAATTGATGTGCCAATGCAGCTGAGGCCCCATCCACAGACCTGAGACTGCATGCCCGTTGTACGTGGCCCCCCATCCGTTGGCAGAGGCATCCGTGAAAACCACAGCATGCCTGGACACCTGGACTAAGGGCACTCCGGCCCGTAGAAAGGCAGGGTCCGACCAAGGACTGAAGGTTTGGCGACAGTGCGGGGTAATGTTGACCCGAAACGTGCCGCTCTGCCACGCCCATCTCGGGACTCGGTCGTGAAGCCAGCGCTGAAGCGGTCTCATATGCAACAGGCCAAGCGGCGTTACTGCGGCTGCGGCTGCCATATGCCCCAGGAGCCTCTGAAATTGCTTCAGTGGAACCGCTGACCTGCCTCGAAAAGACCTGAGGCAGTTGAGCACTGACTGGACGCGCTCCTCGGTGAGGCGCGCAGTCTGACTGACCGAGTCCAGCTCCATACCGAGATAAGAGATCCTCTGCGTGGGGCAGAGTTTGCTCTTGTCCCGGTTGACCTGAAGTCCCAACCGGCTGAGGTGCCGGAGCACCAGGTCCCTGTGATCGCACAACAGATCTCGCGAGTGAGCTATTATCAGCCAGTCGTCGAGATAGTTGAGAATGCGAACGCCATGTTCTCTCAAGGGAACAATGGCCGCCTCCACGACTTTCGTGAAGACGCGGGGCGACCGGGCCAAGCCGAAGGGTAGGACCTTGTACTGATATGCCCGACCCTCGAACGCAAACTGAAGAAACGGTCTGTGTCGAGGCAGAATCGAGACATGAAAGTACGCGTCCTTCAGGTCGATCGCTGCAAACCAATCCTGGGGACGGATGCACTCGAAGATGTGTTTCTGCGTAAGCATCTTGAACGGGAGCTTGTGAAGGGCCCGATTCAAAACACGCAGATCCAGGATTGGTCGTAACCCACCGCTTTTCTTGGGTACAATGAAGTAAGGGCTGTAGAACCCAGACCTCATCTCGGCTGGAGGGAC